TGGGGGGGGTCTCAGGGGGGCCCGAGGCTGCTGACGGTGGTGTAGCTGAACTTGGAGAGGGAGGCGTTGGCGGTGGCCACCTCCTCGGGGGGGGGGCGGCGCGGGCAGGGCCAGCGGCAGCCGGCGCAGGTGGCCAGGAAGGCTTTTCGGAAGCGTCGGTTCATGAAGCAGTAGATGAGGGGGTTGGCGCAGGCCGAGGTGTAGGAGAGGAGGTGGATGAAGGAGATGGGGGTCCCCGAAAGCGCCCGCTGGGCCGCCCGGGGGGAGAAGGCCCTCCAGGTGTTGGCGGTGAAGATGGGCAACCAGCAGAGGAAGAACATGGCCACGATGACCACCAGCATGCGGATGACCCGCCGCTTGGCCACCAGCTTGGCCTCCGAGCTGTTGATGCGGGCCCGATCCTGCTGCTGCTGCGCCGACCCCCCCAGCGCCCGCAGCTCCACCGCACCCCCCGGACGGGACAGCTGCAGGTAGCACCCGTCCCCCTCGTCGCAGGGGGGGTCCCCGCCGTTGCGATGGGCTGTGGGGTGGAGGGGACACCATCAACACAGAGACCCCATCACCCCACAGCACCCCCCATCACCCCAAGAGCATCCTCTGCTTGGATGCAGTGGGGTGGGATGAAAAGTAGGGTGCTTCCCCCCCAAGGGAACCCCCCAACCCCGGCCAGGAGACTTGCAGGCAACCACCATCCTCCTCCTCCCGTGGGGGGTCCCCACCACCTCCATTGCAATGGGCTGTGGGGTGGAGGGGACACCATCACCATGGAGACCCCATCACCCCAAGAGCATCCTCCACTGGGACAGAGGGATGGGATGCCAAGCAGGGTGCTCCCCCCACAAGGGAACCCCCCCAACCCCAGCCAGGAGAGCTGCAGGCAGCCATCATCCTCCTCCTCGCAGGGGGGGTCCCCATCATTGCGATGAGGGTGATGGTGTCCCCTCTGCCCCACAGCCCACGGCACCATGGGGACCCCCATCACCCCAAGAGCATCCTCCGCTGGGATGCAGTGGGGTGTAGGGATGGGATGTAAAGTAGGGTGCTCCCCCCCAAGGGAACCCCCCAACCCCGGCCAGGAGAGCTGCAGGCAACCACCATCCTCCTCCTCCCGTGGGGGGTCCCCACCACCTCCATTGCAATGGGCTGTGGGGTGGAGGGGACACCATCACCATGGAGACCCCATCACCCCAAGAGCATCCTCCACTGGGACAGAGGGATGGGATGCCAAGCAGGGTGCTCCCCCCACAAGGGACCCCCCCCAACCCCAGCCAGGAAAGCTGCAGGCAACAACCATCTCCCTCCTCCCATGGGGGGTCCCCACTGCCACCATTGCGATGGGCTGTGGGGTGGAGGGGACATCATCACCATGAGGACCTCCATCACCCCAAGAGCATCCTCTGCTGGGATGCAGTGGGGTGGGATGAAAAGTAGGGTGCTTCCCCCCCAAGGGGACCCCCCAACCCCATCCAGGAGAGCTGCAGGCAGCCACCGTCCCCCTCATCCCATGATGGGTCCCTCCCGTTGCGATGGGCTGTGGGGTGGAGGGGACACCATCACCATGAGGACCCCCATCACCCCAAGAGCAACCCCCCCAACCCCAGCCAGGAGAGCTGCAGGCAGCCAAACTTCTTACATTCAAGTTTGTGCCCATTTCCTCTTGTCCTATCCCTGGGCACCACTGAAAAAAGACCAGCCCCATCCTCCTGACACCCACTCTTTAAGTATTTATAAGGCCTTGATGAGACTCCCCCTCAGCCTTCTCTTCTCCAGACTTCTATAGGCATTGATCAGATCCCCCCTCAGCTTTCTCCAGAATAAAGACCCAAGTCCCTCAGCTTCTCCTCAGCAGAGAGATGCGCAGGGTGCTCCCCCCCAAAGGGAACCCCCCACCCCAGCCAGGAGAGCTGCAGGCAGCCACCATCCCCCTCCTCACAGGGGGGGGGGTCCCCATCGTTGCGATGAGGGTGATGGTGTCCCCTCTGCCCCACAGCCCACGGCACCGTGGGGACCCCTGTCACCCCGAGAGCATCCTCCACTGGGATGCAGTGGGGTGTAGGGATGGGATGCCAAGCAGGGTGCTCCCCCCCTCAAGAGAACCCCCCAACTCCATCCAGGAGAGCTGCAGGCAACCACCCTCCCCCTCATCCCATGGGGGGTCCCCCCCATTGCGATGGGCTGTGGGGCAGAGGGGACACCATCACCACGGAGACCCCATCACCCCAAGAGCATCCTCCACTGGGATGCAGTGGGGTGGGATGCAAAGTAGGGTGCTGCCCCCCCAAGGGTCCATCATATCAACCCCCCCTCCCAGTTTGGTGTCACCAGCAAACCGCCCCCCCAAGGGAACCCCCCACCCCTGGCCAGGAGAGCTGCAGGCGAACTTCTCCTGGTCCATGGGGTTATTCCCCCCAAGGTGCAGGACCCTGCACTTGCCCTGGTTGAGCTTCATGAGGTTCCTCTCCCCCAACTCCCCAGGTCTCTCTGGGTGGTGGCACAGCCCTCCATCATATCAACCCCCCCTCCCAGTTTGGTGTCACCAGCAAACCCGCTGAGGGTCCACCCCATCCCCTCATCCAGCTCGTTGATGAACGCATCGAAGAGGACCGGCACCCATCGCTTGGGGTGTCCCCCCATCTCACACTGTGGGTCCCAAGGGTGGGGTGGGTTGTGGTTGGTGGTGGTGGTGGTGACTCACCAGGCCTGTCGGACCTGCTCGCTGGGCCAGTCGTGGGTGCAGTGGCTGGTGGGGCTGCGGGGGACGCGGGGCCGCGTGGTGCTGTAGACGGCGTAGGGCAGCATGAGGAGAGCAGAGAGCAGCCACGTCCCCGCGATGACCCGGCTGGCGTGGGACCGCGTCTGCCAGACCCGCGACTGCAGCGGCTTGCAGATGGCACTGTACCGCTCCGTGGCGATGGCCACCAGGCTGAAGGTGGACACCGAGACGGAGACGCCTGCGGAGGAACCAGGGGTGGGGTGGGAAGGGTGTCAGCAGCCCCCCCCCCCGGAATTACAGAAGCTTCATGGTTGGAAGGAACCTTTGAGATCCCCACAGGATGATATGGGGTCACCAGGAACCTTCTGGAGATCATGTCCTTCAGAGCAGGGCCACCCAGAGCAGGTCCCACAGGGTCCCATCTAGGGGGGGTTGAATGTCTCCAGAGATGGAGACTCCACCACCTCCCTGGGCAGCCTCTGCCAGGGCTCTGCCACCCTCACAGGGAAGAAGTTCCTCCTCATGTTGAGATGGAACTTCCTATGGTCCAGTTTGTGCCCATTTCCTCTTGTCCTGTCCCTGGGCACCACTGGAAAAAGACCGGCCCCATCCTCCTGACACCCACCCTTGAAGGATTTAGAGGTGTTGATCAGATCCCCCCTCAGCCTTCTCTTCTCCAGACTAAAAAGCCCCAGGTCCCTCAGCCTTTCCTCAGCAGAGAGATGCTCCAGGTCCCTCGCAGCCTCTGCTGGACTCTCTCCAGCAGTTCCCTGTCCCTCTGGAACTGGGGAGCCCAGCACTGGTCCCAGTGCTCCAGCTGGGGCCTCCCCAGGGCAGAGCAGAGCAGAGGGGCAGGATGACCTCCCTCCAGGTTCTCCACGCTCTTCCTGCTGCCCCCCAGTATGCCATTGACCTCCTTGGCCAGTTTGTGCCCGTTCCCTCTTGTCCTGTCCCTGGGCACCACTGGAAAAAGACC